TTTCCTAAATGTGCACAGTTCGATAACTTTCAAAATTATCCCTGTTTAGACAGGTAACTTGTTGTTTTACACACTGTATTTTGGAAGTTCCCTTACACTCTTAAAAACTACACTGTTGAATACTAGTGGACAAGAAGAAAGTCTTTCAATGACTGAACATGATATACACATTCTGAATTCTCCCAAAGAATAGTTCAAATAATTCATTTCCCTGTACAAAACATGTAATAGACAGTCTCTACATATTACTGACAGTAAAGCAATCACTGTTAATCAGTGTATCTGCTAATATGACAACATGTCATTATTACTTAGCAATACTTCTGACATAAATAATAAGTTAAGCTGATTACTGGACATTCATTTGCCTAATTCATCAACAAATGATTTAGTGCCTGCAGTAGGCAATGAACCTGAAGGAAATGCATAAAAGAATAAAACAAAATCATGTGGAGCAAAAGGTTACCCAGCTCCTAGGTTCTTATGTCAACATTACACCAGTCAATGATATTCATGGGCCTTAAGAGCTAATAAACTAGAGAGGAAAGCATTTTTCATGGAAACTGATATTTTTCAGTTAATCAAAAGCTTCTAATTGCTGATTACTGTTCTCTATAAGTGAGTCCAGAAGAATACATGAAAAAAAAATTAGTATTTTCTGCAAAGAAAGCCCAGTGTTAGGTATTTTGTTAATTTAACTTAATAATAAGAGTCAACTCTAAAGCTAAGCTTGAGAAACATAATATATACAAAAGTTTTCTTGCAGTATAGAATTAAATGCTTTTAACAAATTTTCCCTTCTGGGTAACACAGTTGATGATGCTTTTATAACCAAAGAAACAGGACATTAAAGAAAACCCATATCTTTCAGGACACCAGTACAGTTCAGAGCTTGAGTGTGTTAATGGCTCCAAACCAAGTAAATGTCAGTTGGATAATAATGGTTACCACCTCCATGCTTAGCTGAGTCATTAAATATATGTCAGCTGTAAGTTATAAATAATATAAATCTAAAGTAATTAAACATGATCTCAATTGTTAATTGCAAAAAAGGATGACACCTATAACTCAGTTCCACTTGAATAAGATGTTGTAAATCTATGGCAAATAGCAATAAGAAACCTACACAGCAGCTAACTAAAGTGAGACAATTACAAACAGGATGGACAAAACTAAAACACTAAAAACACAACTAAAACTAAAGTACAGCCTCTAAGGAAATGATATTGCCATGTTTACAATAAACAGCAAACTGACATAGAAAACAGAAACCTAGTTTCTATATTTTTCTTTGTAATAAAGTTTCCAAATTTCACCTAAGAGTAATGAAACAGATCTTTAGTCCAAAGACAACCTGTATTTAGTTGGAAGAGGTAACTGAGCTTCTCAGTAATCTGAACCATACATAGAAAGTCACTTTCAAATATGAAAAATAACAAACTATACAATCTATACAAACTGTTTAGACTGTCAGACTAGCTAAGATGAAATGGTCTTTAAGATATTTGTAAACCCATTTGAAATTTAGGTCTTTATAGATCTAATACCAAAAAAACAAAACAAAAAACCCAAAAACCAAAAAACACCTTACCATTCCCATTAAATAGAATCCAACTGTAAAGATCGTTGCCCTACAACATACTTGTTCAACACTGTAGGTCTTCTTGACATTGGCATATTTTCATTTGGCATTAATTTTGTTCAATATCATAACGTGGTTACATTTATGATCTACTAATGCACTATTACCTGCTGGTACTTTTTAGCTCAAATTGTCTTCCAGGGTGTATACATATATAATTGATATGAGCTCAATTTAGATTAGCAAAACTGAAGTTTTGTAAAAAGCATATTATCTGACACTCTGATGTCAGATTAATACTGGAAAAAAACCTATTAGGTCTTAAATTTCATGGAGACTTTCATATTGTTAAGATGGGATCAGCATGTGAACTAGACACACTTTTTTTTTTCTGGATAATGAAAGTAAAAGATCACATCAGCTTTCCATTGAAGGACACTATGAATATCCTTTTCACAGAGGTAAGCTACCTCCTCTGAAGTAAATATCCTCCTGTATCCCTGTGCTTCCAGCCTTGAGCAGCAGTCTTAGATGTCAATCTATTACACCAGTCACTCCATTCTTGGTCTCAAATCTCTTTTGCCTACTCTGTTTCAATTTACATTCAATCCCAGCAAACCTCAACAGCAGTTGTATCTTACGAGCATTCTAATTTCAATTTTGCTGAGTGATAAAACCAAAATTAAATATGACAATCTCCTAAAGGCATAAGTAAATCCCATGGGCACCCACATTTATAGTTCTAGATCAATAGTTTTTGATACTTAAACATAATGTTTATAATCTACATAAGTAAAGTACCTGAAGGGAAACACACTTTGCTTTCTAAAATCATTTCTCATCAGCCTCTTTCTCTAAGTATCCTTTAATTATAGTCAGAAATTTGGTTAGTCTTGTTTGGTTCATTCAAAAGTCTCTAAGAGCAATAATTTAATACCTTAAAGCATGACATCAGACTAGATGAATCTTCAACACATATTCAAATAAAGAAAAGCAATAACTACTCTTAGAAAACTGCTTCACAAGTCATACACAGTCAGAAGGACATTAAAAAGAAACTGCAAAGCATAGTAAAATGTAAAAATATATATACAATTTTTCTCAACATACCTATAATATTCCTTTGGCTAGTCTCTTCCACATAAGAGCCCAGTCTCTTAATTTGATGTGCCGAATTAAAATGTTAAACCCTGAATAACTTGAATTCAATTTGGAAAAATACTGTTTTACCTATAGATTATAAAAGATGATTACATTTGTCACAATGGTAATGCTATGGGCCCCCCTGAAACACATAGTAGAGAATGACAAGGAACATTCATTTCTGTCCCCCTCCCAGAAAGACATTTAATTCTAAAAACGAGTTCTCTGTCACAAATAGCACCTTCGGTTTATCCTTCAGACCCAGAGAAACCATTCTGTTTAAAATTGCAACCCTCATGTGCACTCCCAGTTCTCTTCCTCTGCTCTTTTTTCATAGTAGTTACAATTTTCTAACATTAAAAAAAGTATATTGTTAACCATTTTTTGCTAGAAGGTAAGCTCCAGATAAAAAGAAATCTTAATCTATTTTGCTCACTAACATATCCTAACCACTTAGCCAGGATCTGACACAAAGCAGTCACTCAATAAATGTTTGTTAAATGAATGAATGAATGAATGAATGAATCCAAGTTGAGAGTTCACTGCAAAATATTTCTGGAGTCAGACTTCAATCTCATTTATACAATTAACAAATATCTACTGAGATATGATTAAGGAGGAGAGAGATAATACACATACAAAAATATAGTAAGTGCCAATAAAGCAGGGTAAAAGGATGGAGAGCGATAACAGTGGCTAATTTAGAACAGGTAACTATCTCCTTAAAATGATGGCAATTGTTTTGGGACTCAAATAAAGTTGGGTATCATGCAAATTTGGGTGGAGAGGGAAAGTAAGCTTTGAACCTGGACAAAATAGGGAATGCTTAGGCCCTAGAGTTGAGGAGGTTCTTAACAGCAACCAGGCCTGCGTGGTGGGAGTGGGATGAGCAATAACATATTCCAGCTGATAATATGTACAGACTACCGAATGCCCTCTAAAATACAGTGGAATTACATTTCACCTAGAGTACTCAGATTCTCTGATAGTAAGTGCTTCTATTCTAACCCCCAAATGTCTGTATCAGCTCATCATATAAGATTACAAGGCCCAAAGTAATAACATTGATAAAATGTTCCAAGCAGCCCCAGGAGTCAGGAAACTGACTTCGGCACCTTCATCCAGGAAGGTGTAAAACCACACAGAAAGTTAGTACTAGAACGGTACAAAGCCAGGAGGCTCAGTAAACATTAGTGGCTGTCGCTTCCCAGTCTGGGAGAAGGAGCTTTCCATGACACTGTTAATTTTACCGCTTTCATGCTTTCATTCAGCTCGGACAGAGATTAAGTCGCCAAGCGCGGTACTAGGCAGTCCTATGACATCTATGCTGTTATAGTTCTTGACTAGAACTGTTCCAACGTTTTATGTAATTTCTCAAAGAACAAACGCAAAAAAGTTCACTCTGAATTCGCCTTCCAACTCAAGCTGGAAGTTCTTTCTAGGCCAAGGAGGAGCGCTTGGAAAGTTGTCAGCACCTGAAAATATTTCCGTGTCTGAGCTAAGCAATTATCTTCCGGTTTAAAATAAAGGTGCATAACGATTTCTCCCCATCCCTTCCACGTCAGTTTAAAAACAGCTTCGCCTAGCTTGTCCAAAACTCTGCGCTAGACCTCAAAATCAGGATCATGCGTCGAGGCCTAATGAGTTAGCCTGTTCGGAGCCAGGGGCTACGTAGTTAGATTGACTGGACCGGATCCCAGAGTCAAGGCGACCAATATGAAAACAACAATAGCCTACACCAGGCCGCAGGTAGGAAAGGAAAGAGAAACTCCGAGGCTGACGCTTCACCCGAAGCTCGGGACGCCCCTGTAGCCGGGCTGGCCCAAAGAGGGAAGTGTCCGGGCAGGCGATCGTCCTTGAGGGGGACCCAAACGCACCCCTAAACTGGGCGCGCCAATTCCTCCAGCTGCCTGGCGCATGCGCAGCGCCGCTTCAACGCACAACCTGAGTGGGTGCACCAGCCCAGAGCTGAGCGCCCAGGCCCCGCTAGCGGGATTGCGCACGCGCAGTGATAACTCGGCCCTAGGCCTTGGCGGCGTTGTAGCCCCAGAGGCCCGCGCCTAGGCCTGGTAGTTCAATTGGGGTGGCGCGGAGACCGCTTGGCCCACGGCTTGGGCAAAGCTGTAGACCTAAAGACTGCTTCTCAGTGGCTGCATCGCCCCGGAGCTAGGGAAGCAGGGGCGCCGGAAGGCGGTCCGCCCCGTGGAATCTGAGATTGGCCCGCTTCTACCCCACCGCCCCCTCCTGACCTTCGGTGCGGTCCCCTAATCCCTACCTTAGCGCAGGCCCAAGCTGTATCAGCTCCGCCTCCTGCGTCGCCGTTACTGCACGGTCCGACCCGGCGCCGCGACAATTTGGCACCTCCCCTTGAAACGGTCTGACTTCGGCGGGATGCCTCCCGTGCCTGGCTGACCGGGGAGGGGAAGGAAGGGGAGCGCACTGGAGGAGAGCGAGCCAGCGAAGGCGCCTCGCCCCTCCTCTCCAGCCTGCTGTCCGCTGCCGCCCCCGCCCATTCCTCGCTCCCCCTCCTATGGAGCGGACCCCTACGGTGGGACACCTCCTCCCCCGTTGGATCATATATGTCCTTTTATCGGAAATTCCTAGGTGGGACACTCCCAACCTTTTCCGTGGCTCTGGTACCCAAAGTCCTGGGAATTTGGAGATGCCTGCCTCGTAAGAATGAGGCATGTATGATGCTGTGGGCAACATTTTCTACAGTCCCTCTGTCCCACCTTTGATAGACGTGGTCCTTTGGGGATCTCAGATCGATTTTCAACAGTTTTCCCCTTGCTTTCATCTCACTAGTGTGGGACTTAAGTCCTGTATCCTTCTAGTACAAAGTCTGAAATAACAAATGATGTGTGCTGAGGAGCTGACCTGAGTTACTTTGGGATCAAGATCTGTTACCATACTCTCCCTTTAGTAATTCGCAGTAATTTCTTGTATCTCACTGCAATTTTGTTGGCCTTAGTAGATTTTAGTAAATTGCACCACGGTTTTATAATGTTCAATAATCTCTGCCACATTACTACGCTTAACCTTGAACTGAGTGGATTTTGATACAATGTTTCACAACTAATGTTATTGGCTGTTCCTATCAAGGAAGCTGGTGGCTTATACGACGTATGCTCGCTTTTAAAAGAGGACACAAGTTCAACGTTTAAATGATTTGCCAAAACTAGCACAGCCAGATAGAGTAACAGATTTAAACCCAGGGTGACCATGTCAGTCTTTTGTTTGGTATGGCTTTTGTCATTTCATTGGAAAATGACATTTCATTGGGAAAATTCCAGAATACCTAGCCCCACCCCCCCTTATTGCAGCTGATATAGGTCAAATTTATGCCCATTATCAGAGCATAGCCCACTGAGTTCCAGAAGGAGACGCAATTATTTGATTGTACAGAATATGAGTAGGGCAGAAGTATATATGCATGGCATTGCCTAAAACAAGATTTTCCCTTGAAACAATCAATTAAGTTTTGGCCTTTAAATGTAAACTTTGACATAACCATAACAAAAGGGAAAGCTTGGAGTTTTAAAAAGGATAATTAGAGGGACTTTCTCAATAGTAATCACCTAAGGGACAGTATAGCCAAACTAAGAAAAGCAGTCAGATGAGTAGGTGTTATCACTCAAAATACCTTCCTTATACTTGGGATGTTTCCATCTCTCTAGATTGTGAAGTTCTTAAAAGCAAAGGACATACCTTGTTAATTTCTGTACCACAAATGCATAATAGATGCTTGTGAAATCAAATTACATCCATTACATGCCTTCAGTTCCTCGAATATGCTTCCATACTATATTTAGAGACCTCAATATAAACACGAGTCCACTGCCCACTCTCATTTTAGATGGTTTGTGCCAGTTATCCTGGGCCTCACTACCTGAATAAATTGACATCCTAAGAGTGGTTGATAGCAAGTCCAAAAAGGCTCGAGGTCCCCTTTTCTTATAACCTGATCAGTTTTCTCCTTCCTCCTTTCCTTATGGCAAAGTCATATAACACTGAGTCTCTGTTAAAAAATCTGCTGACTTTTTTTTTCAGAAAAGCTTTCTCATTACCTCAGAAGTTAAAATTGGTCAACAAGTATAGAGTTGATTCATTAAACAAGAATTATTTCTAATTCAAACACTCAGGATCTTTGCCACTTTTCCCCTTAATCCAGACTGCTTTGTATTTAAGGCATTTCAAGGAGTTTGAGTCATTATTTAGAGAGCAAAATTACAGAAAGTCACTTTCATATAGAATGTAACACATCATTTACAAATCAACCTACATAATAATTATTTCCCTGAAGTAATAATACTCCTTTACAAATTTGTATTTCCTTTTTAAAGATTTAGCTATTTTAAAATTAAAATAGATACTTTTTAAACTTTTTAAATTAATTTTGAGAGAGAGAGAAAAAAACATTGATTTATTGTTCCAATTATTTATGCATTCATAAATTTGCATATATGCATAAATTTGCCTGACCAGGGATCAAATACACAATGTTGACATATCAGGATGATGCGCTACGCAACTGAGCTACCAAGCCAGGACTAAAATAGATACTTCTTAAAGGTCCCGAGATTATTCCTAAATGAGGTAAAATGATGAAATATTATAATGTAGATTTTCTCTGATATCTAGCACGGACGCATATTGTTAATGAGGAACTTAATGTTAAGATGTGATTACAGAGGTTTTAACAGGTGTAGTCCCAGAATATAGAAAGGGAAACTTCTTGTAACAAATTTGACCTCAGGAGCAATTAGAATATGGGAAGAAACTGTTAGACTATCTCTATTTTTATCTAAATTAAGAAATTAAGGGAGCTCCAACATGACGGTGGAACAGGAACAAGTTACACTCACCTCCTTCCAGGACCAAACTGGAATTACAACTAAAATATAGAATAATTGACCTGAATAACCAACTGAAGACTAGTTGAACAGAAGTCTTAAAACCAAGCATTTATGGAAGAAGCCATGTAAAGACTGGTAGAAGGGACATAGATGTCAAAATGGTCAGCCACACACCAATGTGAAGCAACTGAGAATCAAGAAGGATATCTCAGCTGCAAAGATTCCCCTTAGGAATGAGGGGGACTTAACCCCATCCTGGGGTCCCCAGCCTGGAGCACCAGAGCCAGGAACAGGAACCCACATAACATCTGGCTATGAAGTTCAGTAGGGGTTCTGTCCATCAGAGATGGGAGACTGCTAAAATCCAGGCACCCTCTTAATGCGCCAGCACACATAATCTAGCTTGTACCTACTCACCCTGGATCTAGCAGAGGGAGGGTGGCTCACAGTGGACTAGTCATGGGAGGAGAGACTGGATTGTGTGGCTCTGATGAGGGAGCTGAAGGAACAGCCACCAGGTTTCCTGTGCTTGGTCCCTCTACCACACCACCCCCAAATGCCATCTTTCTTGGGTAGAGCGCTCCCCTCTATATGGCATCAGCCTGGGGGAATGAGATCACCTCAGATCTCCTGACTTCCTGTCTCCCTGCCCTGCTGAGCTCACACCCTAAAGAGGTGTCAGCTGCCCAGGCTTAGAGGTCTGGGCAGACTCAGATGATGTCAGAGGCTGAGTTGTGTGGCTCTGGGGTGGAGGCCATTTACCCCTACCTTTCCACAAGCCTGACCTGTGCCACATCCCCCATGGTATGTCCACTAGCTTCACCGTCCCAACTCACAGCAACTCTGCCTTGCTGAGCTCTGGCTCTAGAGGATGTCTGGGCAGGGTCCAGGACAGATTGAGGTATGTGGTACTAGGGCCATGTTCCATTCGCACATCAAAGAGGACCACCATTCCTGCGCAGAGTCCCACCTTCACACAGCCGAATCTTTGTCTTTTTGGCCCTATTAAACTCTGCTGGCCTCACCTTGATGATTTCCTGAGCCCCTGCTCCACCACAAAGGTCTGCAGGCTCCTGGTGGGTAGCAGCTGGCCTTGGTGTACCCTGGGACTTAGTTGCTGAGTACAGTGCTTAGTTACAGACCAGCACTGGCACCATGTGTGAATCTATCAATGTGGTGAATTCTACTCAACCCTGGTGACTCACTGAGAATGTTCCTCATGCAATTGCATACTGCCAGAGGCTCTTTCAACAACTGAATCTAACAGACAGATGGCTGGCAGAGGCAGAAGAAGGCAGAAATGGATCTTGAGGTAACTTTGGCCTTTTGCTGAACTTCCCCTAGGCTCAGTGCTTGTGGAAGCCATTCTAGTGTGCAGCTTGGCCCTTCCCATGCACACTAGATCCAGGAGAGGCAGTCACAAACTATGAATTGCTTTGTAGTGCCCAAAAGGTTGCCCAGGTCCAGTCACAGGTAGTCGCTGACATTGATCTGCATCAGATTCTCTCCCAAGAGGCCTGAGAACCAACACACCCAGTGTCAGGTTTCAGACAACATCAGAACAGGACCTAATTGCTACATGAGAGGAAAATTAAAAGGGTGATCTCAACAGGCATCAGACCTGCTGAAATGAATTCTGCTTCATGTAGTCAGCAATTGCACAGCAGCTCATCAACAATGATAGGGGTCAATCCTCACAGTACCCAGCCTGAGGGTTGACCCCATATCACAGATAGGCCAATGGCAATCAACACTCAACTACAACAGGAGGGCTCATATAACTCACACAAGGGACATTGCTGAAGCACCCAGCACAGGTGATCACGGAAACTCTGCCACTGGGTCCAGCAGGACATCTACTACATAAGGCCACCCTTCCAGGACTGAGAGACAAAGCAGATTTACCTAATATACAGAAAGAAACACAGAGAGACAACCAAAATGAGGAGACAGAGAAACATGCCTCAAATGAGAGATCAGGAGATATCTCCAGGAAAAGAACTAAATGAAATGGAGGCAAGCTATCTACCAGCAACACAATGGTTATAAGGATGCTCAAGGAATTAAGTAAGAACTCCAACAGCATAAAAAAGGACATAGAAACCATAAAAAAGAACCAGTCAGAAGTGAAAACTAGAAGGAATAAGTAGTAGAGTAGGTGAAACAGAGGATTGAATCAGTGACTTGGATGGCAAGGAAACAAGAAATAAAATCAGAGCAACAAACAGAAAAAAGAATTTTTAAAAAGGAGGATAGTTTAAGGGGCCTTTAGGACAACATGAAGCATAACAACATCTGTGTCACTGCAGTACCAGAAGGAGAAGAGAGCAATGGATTGAGAACCTATTTGAATAAATAACAACTGAAAACTTTCCTAACCTGGTGAAGGAAAAAGACACCCAAGTCCTAGAATTGCAGAGCCCTAAACAAGGTGAAACCAAAGAGGCCCACATTAGGACACATCATAATTAAAATGACAAAGTTTAACCACAGTGAGACACCACTTCACACCAGTCAGAATGGCCATCATTAGCAAACCAATAG